CCAGGCAAGGCCAGGGTCCCGATGCCACCCGGTGCGGCCACCCGCAGACCCTGACCTCCTCCCCTTCCACGTAGGCGCCTGATGTCTCTCCTTGAGGCCTGTAGCCCACACCTCATGACGGGACAGCGAGCTTCTGAGTTATCGGCAGCCTTATTTCCCTCTACAGCTCCTACGGAGTTAACAGATGTACACACGTCTGAGGCAGTCATGCGGCAAGAGACTTTGGGGCCAATCCTTCCCGTTTTGACAGTGTGTAATCGAGGTGAAGCCATAAATTTTATAAACAAGAATAAACGACCCTCAGCAACATATGTCTGCTCGACCCTTCCAAGGTGATCGTAAATAAAGGCACCTGCTCACTGGGGAGGGACGTGGGCACTGCAGATGGCCGAAGACGAGGGCCAAGGGTTTGTGCCTTGGGAGCAGCTGGTGTGGGGAGGACCCCCAGGTCCTGGGTCAGCTGGATGCCTTTCTGCCATTTATTCAATCCCTTCCCCAGGCTGCCTTTGCCCTGGTGCACGCTGAGCTGGCCTGCTGCTCACCCTTCCTCAGAGAGGTAGCTTGTAGGGGGCTCCTCCCAGGTTTAGGTCCCCTCTTTGCCTCCTCTGCCCCAGTTATTTGTCAATCATGTCCTCTGTCCCAAGAGGGCCCCTTGTGGGAATCCGAAGACCAGGCTCTGCTGCTGCCCGCAGGGAGTCCTCGGGCACTGATCCCTTTTGGCTCTCGCTGTTCTGTGACCGGGTCACCCTCCCTTTCACTTCGGCCTGTTGCTCCTGGAGCCACATACCCCTGGGCTGGCCTGGCCCAGGACCCTCTGGAGGCCCCCATCTCCCACCGGCTCGGGAAGTCTTAACAAACCAGAGGTGCTACTCCCGGTCCTGTGCGCTCCACCTGGGCCTGAGCTATTTGAAAGTGCTTTGAAAAAGGATAAAACCTGATTCAAAAATAGCTACATTTTATTTTTGTTGAGCTGCTGCCGTGTGCCAGGTCCACGGACATATTTCCTGAACCCTTGGAAGTTGGTATCATTGTCCCCCAAAATAAAAGCTGAAGATTGAGGTTCAGAGTGGTTACAGATTCCCTCAAGGTGACTCAGCTAGGAAGTGACAGAGCTGGAACTTGATTTCAAATAATAATAATAATCAAAATAATAATAGCTAACATGAGACGGGGGAGCATGCTAAGCCTTTTAAACATTGCCTCATTAAACTCTCCCAGGGGTCCTGTGGGGTGGATATGATTTTCATTCCCATTTTACAGATGAAGAAGCAAGTCCAAGGAAGACGGAACGACTTGCCCAGAGTCGTGATGCTAGTAAGTAACAGAGCTGGTCTTGGACCCAAGTCTGCCTGAAGCTGACGCCCATGCCGAGCGTTTGACCGTTCTCGCACCACAAGCCTGGGGCTCTGCAGAGCCAGCAATGAGGCTGCTGGAGCAGGCAGCCCTGTGCACGGATTCACTCCTGAAGTGGCTGCTGCACTGGAGAACTGAGAGCAGAGGTTCTTCCCCGGGGCTTCCACAGGTTGTACGCAGACTGCAAACACGTGTCCTTGTGTCTGTCTAGGGAGAGGATGCACAGACCCTTCATCAGAATTTTGTGAATCTGTGGAGTGGGAGAGCACCAGGACACCCCCAAAGTTCCTGGGTGTCCCCCAACCTTCCAAATCCTGGTGTCCCCAACCAGCTCATCTCCTGCCTCTGCTTGCGCCCAAGCACTGTCTTCCACGATGGACTCCAGAGAAGAAAAGTGACAGGTCAAGGCAAATGAACACTGCACCCTGGCTGGGCTGCAAAGGGGGCCTCAGTCCTCTCCCTAAGCAAGGTGGGACCAGCCTGGGTCCAGTATCGCCAGTGGGCCTCTTCTGAAGGGAGGGGTGAGCCGCAAATCCTCCCAAGGTACTGATTTATGTAGCATTCATGTGGAATTTATTACACAAAGGATTTTATTCAATTAAACTTGAAATGCGTCTGGATTCTTAAAGGTTCAGTAGTGATAACTGGGACAGAGGGATCATAAAACTGTATGGGTTGTCAGAGGAAGGTGTGAGGGTGGGGTGGGGGGAGATGAGGGTGACATTGCAGCTGATGGGGGATTTGGTACCGGGGACGTTTGTCATTGGGATGTGTTACAAGTTCGGGTTATGAAAATTACTCGGTGAAAAATGCACATTAACAATAGCCATGAAGTATCAGTTAAGGGAAAGTAGGTTGAGAAATGAGACAGCAGAATCTATTAGTGCCTGACATTGTTCTCAGCGGCCCAGGGCGTGATTAAAATGACTGTCAAGTGGCAGCGGGGGGAGGGGCACTGGGCCGGGAGTCACAGGGCTGCGTCCCTGGCCCACATCTTGGCACTGAGTCCCTGAGACAAGCTGGTTTGCAAGTCTGTTTCCCCCCTCCTGCCATAGACAGTGCCTCCCTCGGGGTTGCTGTGAGGTTTCAATGCGATGATGTTTGCTGGTTGGTGGGCTTCTCGCAGCTGGAATATCTAACCACCTCAGACTGTGGCCCTAAATACGATCCTGAGAGCCAGACCTGGACCAGGGAGAGGCAGGTGGAGCACTTTCTTGGGTGCAAAATGTATGGGAAAACCCCCAAATCCAGGAAGCGAGAGAAATAACTTTCATGCAATTTTTTTTTACAGAATTTATTCCACTGCAGTATTTTTTTTAAGGCTTTTTTTTTGATGTGGACCATTTTAAAAATCTTTATTGAATTTGTTACAATATTGCTTCTGTTTTATGGTTTTGGTTTTTTTGGCCGCAAGGTATTTGACACCTTAGCTCCCTGACCACGGATCGAACCCACAGCCCCTGCACTGGAAGGTGAAGTCTTAACCACTGGACCACCAGGGAAGTCCCTCACCGCGATATTTTTAAAAATCAAATTTATGCAAAAACAAAATCTATGATCGACAAGGTATCACCGTTATAAATAAAAACAGCCAGCCATTTCTCTCCCGACCTGCGTTGCTGTGTGATGCGGACGATCATTTAGGAGGGTTGACAGCGGTTGCAGACGGGCTTTATATACAGTCATGTGTTTCGATCACGGAGCTTTCATTAACTTTTCCCACTGGGTTCGAGACCAGGGAGGATGTTTTGCTAAGTGTACGGGGGTGAACACATTTTTCCTTTTGCTTCCAGCTCCCACATGGCTACGTAAGGTACAGCAGAGGAGCGAAAGTTTCAAACTGATCCGTCCCCTGGGCGAGCCCCTCCCCAGCAGGCCTCCTCAGTTCTTCCCAGGTCAGTGGCACAGGACATGCCTGCACCTGCATGTTTCTCAGGGGTGTTTGTTTCTCAGGGATGATTGCTGGTGGAAGGTGTGATGCAGGGGGCGCGGGACCTGGGAACCCAGAGTTACCATCTGGCCTGAGACAGCCCCTCCCAGCAGGGGCTGGTGGGGAGGGGATATGGCTACAGGAAAAGGCCTTGTTTCAGAGATCATCCCATGAGGACGCTGTATCTACTCAAAGAACTTCTCTTGTCCTTTGCAGATGTTTCACTACGGTGGGGAGTGTGGGACTGTTGTTTTATTATGTACATCCTGCTTCTTCCAGGAAGATGCTAAGGTGTGGGCAGGACTTAGTCACTTGATGGATTTGCTGTGAGCTCTTGGAACATAACCCTCCCCGGTCCAGCCTGAGTGCCTGCCCGACAGTGAACCGCCTTTAGCCTGTTCTGTAATGTTCTCAGTTCTGTTCACACAGGCCGAGTGCCCACCATGCACCAGACCTGGCGCCAACTGCTGGCCGGGGCCACTGCCTGGAGGGTTTTCACTTTCACTGATGGTCACCTGCACCTCAGCCACTTTGCCCAAGTCCAGGAATGAAAGGACCCAGAAGGGACGAGATAATGATGTTCCTCCAGCAAAATGAGCAGGTAAGGTGGTTAAGAACGAAAGCAAAGCTAGCACAAAACTCATCATTTTAATGTTTCCTAACTGCTGGCAAGGATGGCTGGAGGGACCAGACTTCCGAGCTTCAGGCTAATAAATGATGGCTGGATGGAGTTCACTGGGCGTTTCCGCCCTGACAGTTAGTGAGAGCCTGCCCTTCCCAAGTTGTTTCCTGCAATTAGTGGCGTGGAGTCTTCAGGTTCTCAGGGCTGCCTCCTCGCCCTTCATAAATATCCCCCTTCCCAAGGACACAGCTGGCACTGGCAGGGTCACTTCATAGCGGGAGGGAGCAGCAGTGACAACTGAAATAAAATACAGCTGTGGCCCGGATCTCAGAGGCATAAACCAGCCAAGTGCAACATCAGAGAAGTCGGTCTGGTCTGCGTCAGCCTTGCTGCAAACGTAAGAGCTTACAGTCTGAAGCTGAACGCAGTTCACCTCTGACCCTGGATGCCACCTGCCCGGGCAGGACATGCCCTCATTAAAGTGGTGGTGTTCCTCTCCCCGGGATGGAGGAAGGCTCCCCTTTAGAGAAGTTTCTCCGGGCTGCACCCTCGCCACACATGCACTTCAGCCCAAGTGTTTCCGAGGCCTCACCTGTCAATCTGCAGCCGTCCTTCCCCCTTGATGAGTGGCTCAGAGGTGACTAAACTCCAAATCCTGTCTGCCTTCCTCTTTATAAATGTGACATTTTAAAGCCCCTTTGGCACAGGTAAATCACAATTACATTTCCAAGGGCCTCTGGTAGCATTCCAAATGAGCTGCCAGTGCAGGGCATCTGTCTCTCTCTCTCTCTCTCTCACACACACCAACACACGCCACCCCCACCCCCCACGCACACACCCTCAAGCCTTCCCCACTTTTATTCTGTTTTGGAAGGCTGAGGAGAGCCCAGGGGAGGGGGGCAGAATTCTCCACCGGCCTCAGCTCCTGAAGGAAGTGGGGGGCCCTGAGAGGAAGCGGAGTCTGGACAAAAGACCAGCTTCTGGCCCCTCTGGGTGAGATCTTCAGGAATCAGGACACGAGGGCAAAGTCTTCCTTTCCCGTTGTCACTGTGGAGGAGTCTGCAAAGCTCCCTTTTTCCATTATTTCCAAGCGCCTCAGGCATGGACCGACAAGTCATTTTTCTTGTATATTTTTTCTGGATTCCCCTCCTTCATGGCTGTGTATCTGGCTAACGTGAAGAGATAGTCACTGAGTCTGGAGGGGCAGAAGAAGGCAAATGGAATGATCTGAAATGAGAGATCAATGCTAACAGGGTCCTCCCTATATTAGCCTTCTAGGAGGAAGTATCAGTCACGTGCCCCAGGAGCATCGGGTGGGACAGCGGGTGCTCAGCCAACCTGGGCTTGATGGATGGCACTCCAGGCCAGCTTCCTGAGAGCCCAGTGCCCGACTCTGGCGCCAGGGCTGGGGTGGTTCCTGCAGGATGAGGCCACTACCCTGTCTGACCTCACAGGGCTGGTGACTTTGGGCCACTCCCTGGTTTCTGCACCTTCCAGTGAACAGGACTGGTGCCTCCCAAACTGGGGTGTGCACACAAGTCAACCGGGGATCCTGGTGACATGCAGATCAGATTCTGATTTGGGAGGACTGGCTAGGCCAGGCCCAGGATTTGGCAGGTCTAAACTGTGCCCAGGTGATTCTGGTGCTGCTGGTCTACTCTGAGTAGAGGGAGCCTACAGCAGGCTTCTCAACCTCGGCACTAGTGACATTCAGGATCATTCCTTGTGGCTGGGTGATTCTTCGTGGCAGGAAGAGGGAGCTGTTGTGTGCATCGTAGGACATTGGGCAGCACCCCGGCCCCCACCCACTTGTCTCCAGACATTGCCAGACATCCCAGTTGAGAAGCACTGGCCTGGAATGTTCTAGTGGGCTAGACCCTAGTGCCCCTTTCCCTTCTTTCTTTGATCCAGCGGTGATGGGGCCTCTGGGCAGGGCTGGGTGGGGAGGGAAACAGGAGAGGAAACAGCGCGCCTGCCCCTAAGGGGCTGGCAGTTCGTTTGTGAAGCTGCCCTGTGCTCTCCCTTGTTTCCACGCCGCACTGACCCCACCCTCCTCTTCTCTCCCTGCCCCAACCCTACCCCCTGAGGCCAGCTCCATGCCAGGTCCTGCTGGAACCGTCCCTGACCCATGCCCCCTCCTGGAACCATGCCCCCCTCCTCCTGATGCCTCACTGTCTCTCTGGGAGTGGGGAGGGGGACTGGGCAGTGGAAGAGACTCTGCCCTGGGTGATCCCCCCCGCCGCAGAGCTGTCATATGCTGGTTCCTCATCTGCACGGTGATGCCTTCCTTGCTAAGAAGCGAACTGGCTCGGCCCACACAACCTACACGGCTGGAAGCCTCCCCAGGATCATTACTGTGACATGAACAGAACAGTACTCACTCCCCTCAGGCCCACTCCCCTCCCAGGAGGAAAGGAAGCTGGTCAGGACCATCAAAGCCCAGGCCATGTCCTGGGGGAGGAGTGACCACATTACGGGGCCAGACCGTGGCTGTGAGGTCACTTTCGGGACCCCAGGCAGCTCCTGGGGTCCCTCAGCTCTCAGCCCTGGCCTGGCCCATGCTGGAGCCACACGAGCCAGGGCTGGAGCCACGAAGTGCCTACTTTTTCAGAAAGACCCTCCAGATCCCATCTGAGTACCTGTTTAAGAACTTGGCCACGTTTGCATCCGTCTCACCGGACTGGACAAGAGGCACCACGCTAGAAGGGGAGCAAACACAGCATCACACTACGTTACGGGATCAACATGCTTGCGGGCAGGAGCTGCGTCCTGAGTCAGCATTTCACTCCCGATGCAGCCTCGCCAGTCTGTGTGCAGACACGCTAGATGGTGCCGTCTGCTGAGAGCCAGTGAGCTGGCAGCCCCTCCATGCACATAGCCTCTGCTACATAACCCCTGCTGGGAAGTGCTCGCCCCAAACTGAGGCCCCAGGTTTGTGTCTCCAGCCCCAGGGGCTTTGTCACCTGGGCACGGGTTTGGTGTCCTTAGGACCCCCCACCGCCTCTGCTCGGCCATTCCCTGATGTTGGGCCTTTGGGTTGTTTCCAATTTTTTGCTACTATGAGCACTGCTAATGTGGACAGCTTTGTACAAATGACTTTTTTCCTTTTGAAGCTGAAGCTCTTTTGTGACTCAGCATCACTTTAGGAACCACTTGGCCCCAAGGGCCTTTCATGAAAAGTGAAATCTTTATGACATGGGGCTATGGACAGAGCTCAGGTATGGAGCAGACACACCTGGGCTCAAATCCAGACTCTGCCATGGACCACCCAGATGACCCTGGCCACGGTGTCACCTCTGAGCCCCAGCGTCCTGACTCCAGTAGACTGGGGGCTGCCAACACCTCTCTCCCAAGGTTACCACGAGGAATCAATGAAATAATGGATACAAAGTGCCCAGCACGGTCCTGCCGGTTATATAAAGCAGAGCTTTATTCCCATTTCTCTGTAAAGCCGGGTGCCAGCCTGGCCTATGAGTGGTGTAAATGGAGATGTTGCAATTACTCTTTTTTTATTTTTTTTGCGGTACACGGGCCTCTCACTGTTGTGGCCTCTCCCGTTGCGGAGCACAGGCTCCGGACGCGCAGGCTCAGCGGCTATGGCTCACGGGCCCAGCCGCTCTGCGGCATGTGGGATCTTCCCGGACCGGGGCACGAACCCATGTCCCCTGCATCAGCAGGCGGACTCTCAACCACTGTGCCACCAGGGAAGCCCCGCAATTACTCTTTTAAAGTTTCCTTGAAAAGGCAGGCAGGAGCTTCTGGCGGGGGGCGGGGGGGTCCCTCCTCTCCTGACTCTGAGTTGGCAGATTGGGGTAGCAGGTGGCTTGGTCTGGGCCCTTCTCCACCCAGCAGCCAGCATGTCATCTCATGGCCTAAAACCCATCAATGGCTCGCAGGATAAAGGCTCTCAGGATAAATGCAGAGCTCTCGGGGCGCATAAGGCCCTGCCCGGCCTGGCCTCAGCTCAGCCTCTAGCCTTGTCATGCCTCACGCCCCTCACTCTGGACCAGACACTTGGCATCCTTTGTGTGTGTTCCATGCAGACTGCCGCCTCTGCCCTTGCTGTCCCCTCACCCTGGGCACTCTGTCCACTGTGCCCCCAGTAACCCCCATGCCCAGCCCCAGGCTGGGTCACTCTGGTGCCAAGTACCCTCCCTCATAGCTCTTATCATGGTGTGGAGCTTTTCAATCGTTTCTGCTCAGCTGAGACCACCCCCACCATTTAAATTAATCCCAGGACAGGGAGTCTTCACTGAATACGCACCTGAATTTCATACCACGTGAGTGTTATTATGATTACAAATCATCACCTAGAAGCGCTGGGCCTCCCCCTCCCGTTTCCTGGAGCTGCCTGCTTCTGCACAAGCTCTGATGCAGACGTGCTGTTCCGCCCCCCTCCCCCGCCCCCCACCGGCGTCAGGATCACTGTCTCTGCCCAGGCCCCGCTCCCTCGGCCCGCACCCCAGTACCGTCTCTCAGCTCGGCGGCACACGGCCCGACAGAAATGCAGTGCGGAGCTGCTCTTGCCTCCGGACTGAAAGGAGAAAGTGGGTGTTGGCTGGAAGGGCGGTGGGGGGTGGAGGGTGCCCACTGCAGGCAGGGAGCCTGGATGGACGGAGGGACACAGGCCCCGCCCACAACAGGCAGTGTTCTGTCCCCAGGGGCTCTGCCAGGGCACACCCACTGGGTACCCCTCTCCAAAGCAGGGAGGGAGCCGTGACGGTCTGGAGGGGACTTGGGGGCTGGGGGAAAGCTTCTGTCGCTGTTAAAAATTAAAAGGGGGGGTGCTGAATCCCTGCCTGTGTGTTTTGGTCAACACACTGGCCCGCAGCCACCCCCAGGTTGAGGCAGCCCAGTACCTACAGGCAGGATGAAAGCCGTGAGCGGGGGCAGCTGGCTGGAGTATCCGTCGATCCACCGCTCCAGCTCCAGGATGGGCCCTGCCTCGAACGTGGCGTGTTCTGCGGAGCCAAGGAGAAGGGCGTGGCCGTGAGGCCACCGCCCCAGGATCACAAGGAGCCCGCCCCGCCCCTTCCGCCCGGGTGCCCGCCAACCATCCCCCTGGCTCAGAGCGACCCTCCGTCTCAGGCTGCACAGGCCAGGTTGACAGGGGTCCCAGGCGACACCCAGGACAGAGTCATTCCCCCCGCCCACGGGCCCAGGCCCCCCGGGGCCCTCTGAGCACACACAGTGGGTTCAGGGAGAGAATTACTTAAGTGAGCCTCCCTGGCTGAGGAGCGCGGTGTTGCCAGCGCAGAGCCGACGTCCTGCAAGGAGCACTGGATCTGGGGAGGAATGGGAGGCGTGGGTGAAGACCCTGTCACGCGGGCCAAGTGGGGTCTCGTGCGTCCACGTGCAGGGGCACGCCTGGCGGGAGCTGTCAGACCTCTAAGGAGCCGGCATTTAAAAAGGCTAATCAGGGGCTTCCCTGGTGGTGCAGTGGTTGAGCGTCCGCCTGCAGATGCAGGGGACACAGGTTCGTGCCCCGGTCCAGGAAGATCCCACATGCCGCGGAGCGGCTGGGCCCGTGAGCCATGGCCGCTGAGCCTGCGCGTCTGGAGCCTGTGCCTCGCAACAGGAGAAGCCACAACGGTGAGAGGCCCGCATAGCGAAAAATAAAAAATTGTAAAAAATAAAAAAAAATATAAAGGCTAATCAGCAAACTCTGTCTGCAGCACAGCACGTCTGCCCTGTTGGGAGGGGCCCTGGCTCCCTTGGAACGCCTGGGTGACGCAGACGGGGAGTGCCAAGCGCCCAGGGATAGTCCGGAGTCTTCTCAACCCCACCCTCCTCTCCCATGTGCCGGGCCCTTCGAGGTCTTTTTCTTTTCTCTAAACTGACGGCCTTGGTTTTCTAACCTATAACACTTGGGTGGAGAGACCCAAATTGACAGTGCTTTTTAAACTATACAGGACAGGGCTGTGCCCTCTGATGAGACAGCCACCGTGGCAGTGTGCTGGGAGCAGGACACAGTCGGTGAGAGTAGACGGTGCCCAGCCGGGAGTGGACTGGAACGCTGTTGAGCCACCGAGCAGCAGACTCTGGGTACGTTCCTTGACCTCGTGGTGTCTCTGTGGCTTCCGATGGAAAGGGGCATCACAGTACTACCCCGCCACCGCCGGCCACCTGCAGCGTTTACCCCGGGGGCTGGAGAGAGGTGGCCCCAGTCTGGGAATCCGATCCCAGCCCCGCTGATTCCTGGCTGTGCGGCCTTGGGCTGAGCCTCAGTTTTGTCCTCTGTAAAACGTGAAGGCTGGCCTCCAACTCATGGGCTTCTGCAGGGAGAGCCGGGAACAGGCTGCCTGGCCTGCCATAGGCCCGGAGCAGCCCCCGGGGGCCAGGCGGGGCACCCAGCTGAACAAGTCACAGTCTACGCCCTGGGGGCGCCCAGGCCACACTCCTGGTGATGCTTGCCTTTAGAGGCAGAAGCACAGGAGCTGCGGAAGCCTGGGAGAGGCACCAGCTGGAGGCAGGGGTGGCCAGGGAAGGCCCCGGAGGAGGTGATGTTGAAACTGTTACCCAAAGGACGTGGTCTAAAGCAAGGGAGGGGCTCATCACGCCACTGACCCCTCTTCCCTCTGCAAATCCCGCTCAGAGGTGAGCACGGCAGACAGAAACGACCACTGTAGACGCCAGCAATTCCTCATTATGAGGCTGAAGACCAGTCTCCCTCATACAGGAGGTGCCTCATTCATAGAATGTTCCAGCAGTTTAGGCCTCCCATCTTTCTGCAGCCCCTCACTACCCTGTGTCTGCTCCCAGGGGCCCCAGTGGGTTCCAGCCTGGCCTGGAGGACTGAAGCAGGCCGAGGGCTGACCCTCCAGGAAGCAGCTGACTCAGGTCAGCACGCAGACTAAAACCCCAGGTACATTCTCCATGTTCTGGGGGTGGTGGCCCTGCCTCTATTTCTGAAGTCCTCTCTGTGGGCCAGAGCCCCCGCTGCCTCTTAAGGAACAGAACAGTAATTCTAAGAACCCTACCATCCCCACTGCTGAGGGCTAACCACAGCTGGGCCTTTCAAGTCTCTCAACCTCAGGGCCACTGACACTTTGGCCCAGGTCATCCTGTCACGGGGGCTGTCCTGTGCTTTGTAGGACGTTTAGCTGCATCCCTGCCTCTACGCACTAGATCCCAGTAGCACCTCCACCTCCAGTGTGACAACTTAAAACATTTAAGTTGCCCAGACAACTTAAAACATCTCCAGACATTGCCCTGTGTCCCCTGAGGGGCAGAACTGCCCTGGGCTGAGACCGCTGCCCTTCACATTTCCCTCTCTGAGGGCAAACCTCACCACTCGCCTGTGAGGGAGGGTTATCTCTGGGTGTCCCCATCTTACAGATGAATAAACTGAGGCTCACAGAGGGTAAGTGGACTAGTCCCAGGTGACGCAGAAAGGAAGTGATGGTCAGTTGGCAAATCCAGTTATGGCCACCAGGCCTCGGGGTTGGAAACTCCCAGCTCAGGATGAGATAATGTTACTCACTTTCTGAAGCTCTTCCACAAACGGGTGGCCCTTTTCTGCAATTAATTCCATAGCAAACCTGTGAGGAAGAAGGAAGAATTTGCCTCGAATATAACATCCCCAGGCCCTGTCTTGCTGGAAGGCAATACATTCTCAGGGGATTGGCCATTTTGCTAATTAAGCTATCCCAGGAAGGCCGTTATTTTCTTGCTGACATTGAGAACATCGTAACCTTCCATGTGGTTGCGGTATTTGTTTTTCGCCGTTCATCCAGCCAACAACTCCTCTTTCAGCGCCTACTCTGGCCAGGTCCAGGTGATTCAGTATGAACAGAGGTGACACAGGCCCCGTTAGGCAGGACAGGGAGATGTGAATCAGATGTCACACGACTGACAGTGAAGTTGCAAACTGAGGTCAGTGCTCTGAAGGAAAGGGTTAGAGTCCTGGGATATTTGGCCTTGATTAGGGTTCAGGGAGGGCTTCCTGGAGGAAGCGATGCTGGAGGTGGGACTCTGAAGGCTGAGTAGGAGTTCACTGGTAAGGCTGGGTGGGGCAGGAAAATCAAAGTGCCCCCGATGCAGGTCAGGATTGTGGCCCTGGCCTCCCTCAGAACACTGCACCCTCTTCTGTACCAGTCAGGGTCCTGGCCGGACAGTGGTGTGTTTGAAGGGTTCCTGGAGAAAAGCTTCACAAAGGGACTACTGACAGAGTGGGAAGGCTTATGGGAACTGCGGACGGATGGCAGAGATGAGCAAAAGCAAGAGCCTGAAGGGGCAAGGGAGGGTCAAAGGCGCTACCAACCCTGGAGAGAGCTGCATTCTGGGCAGAGGCCACCGCCAGGAGCTGGGCAGCTGGGAGAAAGCAGTGGAGAGCCCCACAACTGCCAGAGCCGCACAGGGCTGGGGGCGGGGTCACACATACCCCTACCCCTCTCACCCTTGTCTGATCTCCTGCTGGTGCTGCCCATTGGTTGGACCAACTCTAAAGTCAGAGAACAAGGGAATCGGGGTGAGACCATCTCCAGGCCAGCCTCCCAGGCACAGGAGAATGGCTTTGAAAGGGCAAAAGAAGAACTACTGTGCATCTTCTAGCCCATCTTACAATCAGAACTAAATAAGCACACACGTAAGCTGTCCCGCGTTGGTCTTCCCCTCTGGATGGTGAGGCAGGGGTGTACGCCTCAGGCCTGGCACATTGGAGATGCTCGGGAGTATCTGCTCACTGAGGATGTTCCCACGACAGAGGCCAGCGGGAGGCCCCTCCCCATGCTCGCTCCATCCCCGCTCCCACCACTTGTGGCTGCCCCTCCAGCGTCTGTCTGCTCCACCCCACCCGCTGCACCGCACCCCGCAGACCACAGGCTCCATGAAGGCAGGGCTGAGGCTCCCCACACAGCAGAGCCTGGCACACGCAGATGCTCCGCCAACATCTGAGGACGGAAGAATCCACAACTGAGCTGTGGCCAGTCCCCTGCACCACATCACCTGAGGGATGATGGCCTGCTGATTTGCTAATTCTAAACAGCCGATGCTAGAACCCGCCTTCCCGCCCCTCTGCCCACTTCATCTTGTGTGCACTTCCCCCTCGCCACACCCTTCCCACACACACCAAGGGGTCTGCCCTCTCTCCTCTGCTGGCAGACTAGCTACATTATCTTTCCTGAGAACCTCATTTAGGCCCATCACTGAGAAATGGCCACCATGAACAGGTAAGTTTTAATAATTATGATGATAATAATAGCTAGCATTATGATTGGTGCTAGGTACTGTCCTAAGGGGGAAACATGGAGTTCTCTCATTACATCCTCACAAGAACCCAATGAGATTGGATACTATTACTAGGATCATTTGACAGAATAGGAAACTGAGGCTCAGAGAGCCCAGGTGATTTGCCTGAAGTCACACAGCCAGTCAGCAGTGGGAGAGAATTTGAACCCAGGTCTGTCTGATTACCATGATCTTCACCCACAGGGCCGAGTCAGAACTTGTGAACTAGTACTTATAATAACTGCAGCTCATGCTGCCAACAGCTTGCTGAGCATGGTGGCCTGAACTTTGTTCTCAAATATTTGCGGCCCCTCCCACCCCTGCTGCTGTCACATGTGTCCACGTCCCTGGCTCTGGCCAATGAAATGTGAGCAGAGGTGGCGTGTCACTTCGTGGAAGCTTTAAGAGCCAGCGTGGGCATCACCGTGATCTCTCTTCCCTCTGCCACAATTACTGGTGTTGTTCTAGACAGAGGCTGTCCCACCAGCCCGGGTCCCAGAGTGAAGGCCAAGCAGGGAAGAAACATACCCAACCCACGATGGGCTTGAAGTGCGAGTATGAAATACGCCTTTGGTGGTTTAAGCCACGAAACGTGGGGGTTGTTTGTTACAGCAGCACGGCCCGGCTGAACCTGACTACTTCCCCAGTCCACCTTCTAAACTCTGGCTGTGTATATCCTTGTTTAAAAAATAAGCCTCCCGAAAGGGATCATGTCTGATGCCCTGTGTACTGTGCTCGACTCACCTGTCACTTAGCACATGCACCTCAATGGCACACACATACGAGCACAGTGAGGGAGCAGGGATGGAGGGGCAAGGCAGCATCACGCAGTGAGGGACGGAAGCCACAGGCCAAGGAAGGTTCATCAAGGGCTGGCAGCCTCTGGGACTGGCGGGCACTCTGGAGAGCTGCACATCAGTCATGCCCTCTAACAACCAACTCAAGCCCGACCTCAAGGCCAATCCCGTCCCCCTTACCCAATGGCTGAACTTAATTCATCTGTAGTTCCCACGGCTTCAAACACCTGGTCATCTTTCGGTCTCCTTTCTCCAGTGAAGGTGCTGGAAAACCCTGTGAAAATGTTTTGCTGCCCAAATTAAAGAGGTTTTTTTCCTGATATGCTCTTTTAAAGCATTTTTCCACTTGAAGGATAACATACACAGAAAAGTGCTCGAATCATAAGCATACAAGTTGATGAACTGTTACTAACTGAAATAGACCTCTGTGATCAGCATCCAGATCAAGAAATAAAATATGAGCCTCACCCTAGAAGCCCCCGTGTCCCCGCTTTCAGTCACTGCCCCCCTCCCCAGGGGTAACCACTGTCCTCACTTCTTTCCTGATATACTTTATTTATTTATTTATTTATTTTTGGCTGCGCTGCTTGGCTTGTGGGATTTTAGCTCCCCGACCAGGGACTGAACCCAGGTCCTTGGCAGTGAGAGCATGCAGTCCTAACCACTGGACCGCCAGGGAATTCCATCCCTGGAGTCTTTGGCTGGAGGGCATCAACACTGTCATCCCTTTGCATCTTTTCTTTTCTTATTGTGGTAACATAAACATAATGAAAAATTGGCCATTTTAACCATTTTTAAGTGTACAATGGCGTTAAGTACATCTATGAATGTTTTTAATCTTCTTACTACATAAATATACCCCCAAAGCAATAAATACTGGTAATCTGCGTGTTTTTTTTCTTTGGGGGGCGGGCCATGCCACGCAGCATGCAGGATCTTAGTTCCCCAACCAGGGATCAAACCCGCGCCCCCTGCAGTGGAAGTGCCAAGTTCTAACCACTGGACCACCAGGGAAGTCCATGCGTGGTTTAAAACTTTAGAAAATGGTATCTTACTGATATGTTCTTCTGCATCTTTTTTTTCTGTACATTATGTTCTGGCATTTTTGTAAATTATCAAAGCAATATATGCTCATTACAAAATAAATAATAGAATAAAAGTATGTACAGGAAACAATGAAAGCCCGTCTATTCATTCCCCTCTCCCACAGTTCAATCTCTCTCCCAGGTAACAGTCCAAGGTATAACCTTTCACAATGTTCTATGCACACCTGAACACACACATAAATACACACACACACTTTTATCAAATGGATTCCAACTATTTGGATTGTTCTGCAACTTGCTTTTATCATTTAATATATCTTGGGCATCTTTCATTTCACATCACATTTGGGTGATGCCTATTGAGATCTGTCACATACTTTTAATGTCTGTAAAGAATTTGGAAGAACTTTAAAAAAAATATTTTAAAGCTATTATTTAATTCTCATTCCAGAATTTTCCATCAATTTCTAGTGCCGTGTGGCATACAGGATCTTAGTTCCCTGACCAAGGATCGAACCCATGCCCCATGCAGTAGAAGCGTGGAGTCTTAACCACTGGACTGCCAGGGAAGTCCTAGAATTTGGAAGAACTTTAAGATGGAATCTGCCATGTCTTTCTTTGCATTTTTCACCTGTCCCCCCCCTACCTTTGTCTCCTGTTTTGGTGTAGATCTTAGGGAGTTTGGGTGTCTTCGAGGAAGGCTGTGGCCTAAGGAGAAATAAACATCAAGAGATGATGAGTGAGGATGGCGTATATAGTGGGGCACGTCCTTCAGTGGGTCACAGCTTGCTACCCATATCCTCAGAGGCAGCACTTACCCCCTTCTGCTTGGATCTCTTGAAATCTTTCCCCTCCGTTCCTCTTAGTTTTAAGCCCTTTGTGGGCAAGTTCTGTGTCTTGCCACACCCGTATCTGCAGAATAGCTGATGTAGTGCATTGCTCAATGCAGACGCTCTATAAATGTTGGCTGAAAGAATTTATCGATCACTTTCTATAGTCTCTGCACTGTGCTAAGTGAATTACAGGCATTATCTCCCCGAATTATCCCTGGAATCTTCCCAAGCACTACCTATGATGTTATTTCTTTTTTTTTTTTTTTTTTGCGGTATGCGGGCCTCTCACTGTTGTGGCTTCTCCCGTTGCGGAGCACAGGGTCCGGACGCACAGGCCCAGCGGCCATGGCTCACGGGCCCAGCTTCTCCGCGTCACGTGGGATCTTCCCGGCCCGGGGCACGAACCCGCGTCCCCTGCATCGGCAGGCGGACTCTCAACCACTGCGCCACCAGGGAAGCCGGTTCATTTTGTTTTTGAGGAATCTGTAGCTGACGCGATGAGACTCACCCTCCTAGGTCACCACGGGAAGAAACGGTAGGGCTGGGATTCTTGCCCAAGACTATCTTATTCGACACCCCAAAACTGTTACCTCTGCTCTACCAAGCCAGGGACTCTTGGAGGGAAAAATCCCTGGGCCATTACCATACTGTAAAGCTTCAAGTATACTCCGAAATGGAGAATTGCCAAAACAGGGTTCGAAAACTGGCATTTTCAAATAGCAACACCTTTAATAAAGACTTCAACATTAAAATGTGACAGTAGAAGTTTATTCAAAGGTTAAATTACTGGATCTGTGAAATAGATTAATCCATTATTAAGTCAGGTTGTGAGGTCCGGGAACGGGGTGCAAGTTTCAAGGTATATGATGACAGCCATCTTTAGACCGCATTGGTGTATCTCTGTGGCTTAAAGTATAAACTGCTTTGGAGATAGGTTAATATCCGAATTGAGGCCCCTCCTGATTGTGAGGCCAGGCAAGATGACCCTCTTGGCTCACATGGGATATGCCCTGTCCTGATGGATGCTGGGCTTCGTTTGGACTTGTCTTGTGCCAAGAAACCTTGGTCTCTGGCTTCCACGGGGCCCACGTTGCCACGGTGACGTCACGACTAAAGAGGACGTCACCTGGCGATTGCTGCGGTGACCTCCCAGCGGTTTGACGTAACCACGGCGACAACATAACTCAGGGCAGGTGCCTAAGTTACCCTCCCAGCCAGGTACTCACCTGTCCCCGTCTTCCACGCCCTGGGGGCCGCGGCTCTGGAAACGGGGACACAATAGCTTGCGGGCGCCGAGGCACCCGCGCAAGCCAAGGCGACCTCCCAGGCCCCACACAGCCATGCTCCAGGGCTCTGGTAGGGGACTGATCCTGCCAGGCTCCCGTCCAGATCCCGGGGTGACTCCACCTACCTCCGGCCGCGCCACCCATCAGCCGCCATCTTCCATTGGTCCGTGGCTCTCTCCCCAGGGCGGGACACTCGCAGAGACTTGTTTCTCGTTGGTTCACGGAAGGAGCTGGGCGGGGAAACCCGTGAGGACTTAGTTAGCAACAGCTATTGGCCAACTCTCAAGCCAATTGGTAAAGGGGCTCTAGGTTCGCGCGCTCTGATTGGCTGGGCGAAGGAAGAGGCCTCTTCCCCCCGCCGCCCGCGAGCTTGGGGATGGAGTCCCGGAGCGGCTCGAGCTCGGAAGTAGAGGCCCTGTGGCGACAGGTGAGAGGTCGGGGTCCCGGGACAGGGTGGCGCGAAGTCCGAGGCCGAGACCCAGAACGACCCTGGACCGGGCTCCCGGCTTCTCTGGCTTAGTTTCCCCAACTCTGAGAATCCGTCCTGACGAGCCGGCAACCTGGAATCTGACAGACCGGATTTAGAGTTTCGGACAAGCAATAGGTGCCCCCCACTCCGAGCCTGAGTTTCCCCCGCTAAGAAACAGGGATCACTGTAGTACATACTTAGCGCATAGTGTGGTTCTGGTCTCACGCTATTGAGGTAAAGCCTTAAATGGATGGTAGTTTTGCATTATTTATAAAAATCTAAAACGCGCACACGTACGCCCAGCAAGTCACTTTCTAGGACTCTGTCTTGTAGAGATCCTGACTTAAATGTGCAAAAAAAAAAAAAAAGGTATAACAGCTGTTTTCTGCAGCCTGTTTGTAATTGTGAAACGTTAGAAACAGGCTAAATGTCCAGGAAAAGGTTCCTTCCGGTTCATGATTTCATTTAAATTTCTATCTTTTTTTTTTTTTTTTTTTTTTTTTTTTTTTTTTTTTCCCTGCC